CCCAATATTTGTTTCTGGGTCTGTTATGTATCTTGCTACACACAACATTAATCCTAGCACATAGGAGGTAGAGGGAGGAAAACCTCTATGTTCCCTGCCAGCCTGGTCTTCAGAACTAGTTCCAGGACTGTAGGGCTGTTACATATTGTTGCAAAGAACAATAGAATAGAAGTCCTTATTTTCACCAGGATCTCGGTTTCTTCTCTTTCCTGAAAGTGTATCTAATCCACCTGAGCATGCCCTATTTAGATGTTCTTCCATGAAGGTAGGATGATCACTAAAACCCAGCTGTATATTCCAAACACCATGACTATGATTCCATAAAAGACTAAGCAGATACCAACAAAATTAATCAATTAACAATACATAGACAAATCCTTAGTGTTTTGAGATGACTTGGTGAATGGGTTTTTACTGTCACCATAGTCTCAGTTTATTCTCTTTCCTCATAACAGATCTAATCAAACAGGTCAGATACAATTCATATAACTACTCTCAGGCAGGGGGATTACTGAGATTTCAGGGTAGCTCAGGTTTCATGATTATTTCATATTGGCATGAGTTACATAGACTTTATATGAAATTTAAAATGCATGACTGTAAGCAAGACAGCGAGTCCCAGAGCTGTGATATTGTAAAGAAGTGTTAGAGGCATTTGGGACTTGACTACAATCTGGGATTTCATGCTTTTCCACATCTGATTCTCTCAAAGCCTAGATGTAAATGTCCAAGTAGGATTGGATGGGGCAATGCTCAGTTATCCAGTCAGAAGGCATCTTTTGGCTGAGAGATGTGGTTATATGGGAAGGTGTGAGAAGTACAGGGGATATAAGGGTTAAAATGACCAGGTTAGATACTGGTTGTTGGATCCCAAAGTGACTATCAGAACCTATTGGTATTTGAAAACTTATGGTTGACCTGAAGGGGTAAGGTATTCACCCCCATCAAGGCACAACCTTACACAGGATCTTCAGTCTCTCATGTCATCTTAGTATCCCTGATTTTGTTGTTTT